GATTTTTTAAAAACGGAAACTTCTCTCATGTTATTCAACTAGAGCACTTCAGTTTACAAAACAGCAAGTCCATCTTTATGGAAGCCAGCACGAGGAACTGTGTGCAAATAATGAAGACGCTTGCTTGGATCCTGTTTCAAAATTCTAGACCAGGGCTACCTTACACAGAATTGGTCATGTTACTGCCAGGAGATTTCTGTGTAACTTCATTATTGGCTAAAAATTTGGCATTTTAAAGATGTGGTACTCAGATGGGGTTTTGTCCACCATTGTCAAGACTGTATCTTAAAAAATCGTACCGGTCATTGATAATTTAGTTTATCCTGAGGCAGTTGACTTGCAGAGGCACAGTCTACAAAGCCTAGGATATTGCCACTCTATGGTTTACATTCTGGGACACCGTTTAAGTTGTTTGTAGCACTGCAGTTCAAAGTGTTAATATTTAGAGGGACTTCTAGATTTTATACCTAATGCAGTAGAACCTTGAAGTATATTTAAGCTTTTTTGTTAAGCTTGAAGAGTTGGCAAGAAAAATGTGAGTTCCTATCTGAAACAGAATGGTACATTACCACTTAAGTTTTAAAAAGTGATAGACATTCAGATGTGTCTCAAACTCAGTTTTATTTTTATTCCAAATATTGTGAATGAGAAGCCATTGTCCTAAACTTTGGCCATTTTTGCGCTATAAACATGCATTTTTAAGTTATAAGGGGAATCAAACAATGTGTAATACAGTATTAGGGTGTAATCTGCTTTTATAGTACTGTTAAAAATAGAGAATTACCTTTTCTGTACCGTCTTAATTAAAATTACTGATTTTTACTAGTTGCTTTGCAAAAAACCTTAATGTTTGGCTGCATTGCTGATACTTGTAGGTATAATTTGCTTCAAGGTTGTGCTGATGAGTAGATAGTATGTAGTGATCTTAGTGATTGAAAGGGAGGGTATTTATTATACAAACTGTGAACTGCAATGACATCCTTCATTTTGGATGACGTGTATTGTTTTTCTTTGCAGCATTTTAATGAAGATTGCTTTGAAGTGTTTATGCAGTAGCACATTACTATAAAATTTAGTTTAGCACAGTGGACAAAAAGTAGTTAAATTAATAACTTAAAATCAGTCTCTAATTTATACATCTGAAGTATAGCATTCCTGTATGCACACAGTAAATAATGGGTAGCCTGGGCTCTGTGTTGCTTTCTTATATTTTTATCCAAGTTGTCAGCTTCTAATTGCTGTGTTGTTGTGCTAAACTTTGAACCTTATTTCTTTTATTAAAAATCAGTACACTTTCTATAATTTAGTAAGATACTGGCCATAATCTTCCATAATCTTCCATTGTTATAACTTTAATTTTCACTCTGGGTTTACAGTGGCTGGTCTGTATAAATAATTTACACAAAGATGACTGAATGCTAATGCCAGTTGCACTTAAATGAACATGCCCATTCTCAGTAGCTGATGCAGTAATATATTCAGTTTATCTATGCATTGCTGGGGTCTTGATATAAGATAGAGAAACAGTGTTTCTTATCTAAAGTTTTGATTATCAGCAAGTTGAATGGACACTTTAGTTATTTAAATAAAGATTTTTGACCAAAATCCAGAAGATGGTATGAGAGAAAAATAAATTCCAGCTAGTTTAACAGATTTTTAAATGCCAATCTGATTTTAGCCTCTTAGAGAGTGCTAACTAGCTGGTAACGTTTACTTTTAATTCCTTGTTAAAATGAGGCAATAATTTGCAAGATTTTTGTATATAAGTGTAAATTCTTCATATCTTTTTAGATCTAATTCAATATTTTCTGACTACTTCTGTCATGTATAATACCATTTTTGTGCATGCTTGATGTGACACTCATAAATTGTACCACTATGACTTTATCCATGTAAAATAGCTATTTATTGAATTTTCTTTTAAAAGCTGGATTTACTGTTTTTTTCTCTCTCTCAGTTTAAACATCTTAACAGAGAATTTGTTACTGTTTATTAAAAGAATTGCGTTTGGAAGCAAGAAAACAACTGATGTGCAGTCGTATGAAGAAACAATAATGCCTTTATTATCAAGTGTTAAGCACAATTCTTATAAGAAACTGTGATAAATTCTTTTTTTTCCTTTCCTGCAATATTTTCTTATGAACAAACCAAAAACTTATGGTGAGCAATTGCAGTGTTGGCTGATATATCTTTTATGTACAGGGAATTTGAAGAGGACAGTGGATTCATTTAGAAGTGTAACTGGTGCTGTGATTATAGCAATACATTTGTTAGTTGTACTTCATCTTTTTCATGCTAGCTTTTTAAATGTTTAGTTTTCCTCTTGTCATGGTCAACTGCTGAATTTACTTGAAGGATGTAAATTACTGTTTAAAAAATACTAAAATCTGTACAATTAGGTCAAAGAGTTGTGCAATCATTTCCTTTTTAATTTTTAAAATGTTGAGGGTCGTAAATATTTGAGAACATCAGATCTAATAGTACTTAGTAATACTATTTAATTTAACCAAAGTCTCTAGTGAATATTTCAACTTTGAATGTAAACTAACGAATAAACATGACCACCAAGGAGATTGTTTGCCCAGAGTTTCAAAGCACATTGTCTACAAATGGAAATTGAAATAATTTATAAAATATTGACATTACTATGTTTTTTAAAAAGTTCCTAATTTTTTCACTAAATGGAGGAAACTATTAGTTTTATTGTTAAATATCGTAGATATTAATATTCCTCTTAGATGACCAGTGATTCCAGTTGTCCCAGTTTGAAGTAAGTACCCTGTGAGTATGAGATAAATTAGTGACAATCAGAACAAGTTTCAGTATCAGATGTTCAAGAGGAAGTTGCTGTTGTTGCATTGATTTTAATATTTGTACATAAACACTGATTTTTTTTTAGCATTATTTTGTATTTGTTGTACTTTAATACCTGGTGTACAGTTCCAGAAATAAAAATCTGGGAATCTTTTTTTCTTGGTTTGTGTGAATATTTGCCAAAAATAGGTATGTTATTTAATGAATTTTAAGCTATACCAAATAGGTAGCTATTATACCACTGTTAAATTGGTTTCACATGTAGTAAATAAGATACATGATAGGTAATGAAGTTGGTAAATTAAATGTTTTCTTTAAATCCTCTACAATAGTTTTCCATGTATAATAAAAGTCCAAAGTAAGGATTATACTTTAGTTTAATTCAGGAAACATCGAATATTATGTTTCAAACACTGTTTTAGGTAACTGTCTTTTAGGAAGATGTATCTGAAATTTGATCAAATATTACTTGACAGTCTATATTTACAGTCAACTGGTCTTCCTTATCCATATTATTCATAGTTGGATTAACTCTAGTCATATCTTTCCTAAACATCTTTTCAAGCTAAAGCTCCTATCTTGGTCTTATTTCACAAGTTTGTCCCCGTATTTCATTTGTTCTGACCAGAACTGTATGTAGTTCCATTTTTAATATGCAGTGATCAGACTGCCCATAATACCCAGTTTGTACAAGGCCAAGAAAGGGATAAAAGGAAAGCAAAAACCCTCACTCCTCTGCTCTGGTTACATTCCTTCCTTCTCAGACACCAAAGGACCTTAGCGCATAGGGTTCTGCGGTGGACACATGACAGAAATGCCTTCAGAGTGGGATCAAGCACACACATTTTGAATACAGCAAGAATGCAACCAAGTGCCATATGAGAGCTCTTAGTACTTTAGGCTTTAGGAGATGGAAAAGCCTGTGGAAGCAGGATTATCTAGTTACATCTGGGTTACTAGGAGTCATTTTGGCCATAATTTCCAACTATAGTATGCTTCTTGAGCTTGCTGGTGGTAAGTGCTAAAGAGAATAGGGAAGTGGAATGAGGAACATACTGGGTGGGGGCATTGAGGGATTGTAAATTTCAATAGGGTGATTAGGCAATGCTCCTCACTGAGGTGACAGCAAGGGAGAGAACAAGCTCTGTGGCTGAGGGAAGATGTTTACAGGCACAACAAGTGCAAAAGTCCTGGGGTGGGAATGTGCCTGGGAGGTTCGAAGAGTGGCCAGGAGGCAGGTGTGGGCCAGGTGGAGTGAGCAAGGGGAGAACAGGAGAGGAGCTCTGAGGTCATAGCAGATCATGCATGTGAAGGACTTCATGATAGGAATAGGGTTTTGAGCAGGGTCTTTCAAGACCTGACTCATTAAAAGAAAAATCACACTTGGCGATATGTAGTGTAAGGGGGATAAGAGTGGAAAGAAGGAAGGCAATTGAGAGGCTACTGAAATTGCAATAAACTAGGTGAGTAAAGCTTATGGTAAGGAAGGTGGTCAGAATATAGTTATATAGGTTCCTTGAAGATTTGAGGAGCCCAGTCAAGAACATGCTCTTTCCTATCCAAGTTTGAAACTCAGAGAGCTGGAGTCAGGTTGATGGAGGTCAAAGTAACTATTGCTAATAAGACTGGGGAAGGTAGCTTCAAGGCTGCAGCCAGGTTGGCTTGCTAATATATTACACCTAGACTCACTGTCACTGAATGGGCTGGTTACAGGCTACTCTCTGCACAAGGCAGAGAACTGTCAGGATACATTTTTTTCTGCTGGCAGGCAGAGTCCACAGAGAAGGATCTAGAAGGGTATAGGACATGGGTGCCTAGTTATTCAAACAAAATCAGGCAGGCAGTCTTCCTTCAGTGGGTGGAGAGAGAGGCTAGGAACATTACTAGTGGAAGCCTCCACATGAAGTCGTGAAACACGTGGAATAAGTGTTCCTTCCACCAACACTATCTTGCACTTTTTTATTCACCTTTTCTTTGCTGTGAAAATGTTCAAAGAGTAAAGACAATAGTATAATAACCTCACATTTTCCCCTTACCCAGCTCAAGCAATCTTTACATTACATATACACACAGCAATTTACTCATGAGAACACCATAGACATTTTTTACTCGATTCTGTAAAAATAAAGTTTTTACAGAAGTTTGTATACAGCAGTACTACAAGAACTGCTGATGCTAGGCTACAATTTTATAAATCACCACAGAGCTTACAAAATAAACAAAAGAAAAATTGAAATTATAAGTTCAAGTAGTAGGTTTTAATTTAATAAGCTATTGTGTATTTAGATGAAAACCAATTAAAATTAGAATTCCATTACAAATTTGAAATTGTAATGAAGCAAATAGCTTTTATCATGAAACTGGAACAAATATAATATCAACAAAAACATAAAAAATTCCCATTCCAATTAGGTCTCAAAATATTTGTTCTACAGGTAGAATTCAGAGAAGTGATTAGCAAAAAAATACTTAGAATTAACTCAGTAGCTGAGTAGAAAACCTAATTTTTGATTCACAGAGTTAGCTGACAATTGTGTAGTAGTTTGAAAAAAGCTCTTCTCCTTGTCTGATATCCCTAAGTGCGACAAGAACAACACATCGAAGTGGACTGAAAACAAAAAGAAAAACATACAAAAGGTAGAACATTAATAAATATAAGCTTATATTTTTAATATAACCAATATGGGTTTTATAAATAACTTTACTCAGGTTCCTTACATTTTAGTTTATACGTTTGATTTCCATGAGGAAATAGTACTTATCCCTGATGCAGGTATTCTCAATGAGAGTATGTCTATATCATTTAAAAAATCACAAATCAATGTTCATACAACTGATTACTTCTTCTTGTCTATACAACTGATTACTTCTTCTGACAATGCTGTTTCTAAGTTTAGGCCCCTAAAACTAGTATCACAAAAAGGATTTTAAAATGACATTATAGTTTTTCTTTTATTCATTTGTATCTTATATTCTGAAAAATAAAATTACTTAAAATTAATTGGAATTTTAAAAAATACTTTTTTCTGGACATCATAAGATATTGTTACATGTACACCTTCAAAGTTCTAATAACATGCCCTGGAGTACATGGCTAAGAAAAGCTAATTGATACACAAACATACACATGCAGAGAGGCAAAAGTTATCAAGTTTTCAGTTTTTGTTTTTTTGGGGACAGGATCTGGCTCTGTCACCACCCAGGCTGGAGTACAGTGGTGCCATCTTGGTTCACTGCAACCTCCAGCTCCCAGGGTCAAGGATCCTACCACCTCAGCTTCCCAAGTAGCTGGGAGTACAGGTGTGCACCACCACACCCAGCTAATTTTTGTACTTTTTGTAGAAAAGGGGTTCTGCCATGTTGTCTGGGCTGTTTCCGAATTCCTGTGCTCAAGCAATCCACCCACCTCGGCCTCCCAAAGTGCTGAGATGACAAGTTTGAACCACTATGACTGGCCTCAAGTTTTAAGTATAAGAAATATTTCATGTTTTAAATATCATTCTCCTTAGAAGGACAATTTAATAGATCCTATATAAAATAAAGTTTGCTAGTAACTCAGTGAAATAATAAAGATTATACCATTCTACATCACTGTTAACAAAGAACTCTTAGCTCTCCAGAATGATCTATATGTTAAAATTGTTATTTGAATATTCTCAGTAGACGTTCTACTTAATGAACAGAAAATAAATGCAACATTAAAATATGTGTCTTCTGGATATAGTCCTTTTTTTTCATTATTAAGAATCTAATAGTGAAATTTGCAAAGAAATCATAGTATAATTTGGCCTCTTTCTTCAACTGGGTGCTTTCATACAAGGTAGAGAACATGATATTATAAATGATCAAAGTAAAAATATATTTGAAGATTTTGTGAGTAGGAAAAACAACAGAATCACTTGAAAAAACTTTAAGGTGGATACTTATGAAGTAGTACCACAGAATAAAAACGGGTAAAAATAAGCAGAATGAATCTAGGTTAAAGGAAAATGTTCAATTTCAAATAAGCCTACATGAACACATTAAGGTGTGATGAACATAAAAATCTAAGTTATAATTTTTCACTAAAAAGAATCCCCAAATTCTACATAGCGTTTCCTTCTGTATTTTTTTAAGTATAGCATAGGACAGAAGATATGAAATGCTCTTTTAGCAAACTAACCTTTGTTTGTCATAGCGGTAGGCAATGTTTGGAAGATACTGCTTCAGTTCTATAGGGAAAACTGCAGGCACATCAAATTCCTGATAACAGACATTAGCTGCTCTGTCTAGGAATGAGCACATAATTTTTAGATAAAGAACCATTATACAAGGTCACGGAAAACAACTGAATTATGATACTTAATGTCTGCTTTTCTAAATTATCAAAACATGCTCAAAATAATTACTACTATGCTCTAGGCACTTAGATTTTATTTACTTACTTATATTTGTAGATATACATGTAGAAGATCATAAATATATAAAATAAAATACTCAAAAAGTAAATAAGACATATATAAAACATGTTTTATTATTTACTTTTTGCATAAATAACATATATAATAAGCATATGCTTGGATAATATATACCAACATACATAATAAACATATATGTATGTTTTATTGTTCACTTTTTATATATCAGAAAATAGAGGCTCAGAAATGTTAAAGTTTAAGTATTAACAAAAGAGTCAGGCTTGGACTTCATTTCTCACTAATGCCAAAGCCCATGTTAAATGTAATCAAACAATCAGACTTTTACCTATGGGAAAGTCAAGTCCTAAAGAAGATATAGTGACTCACAAACTTAGCAACAGAAAGCAGATACTAGTCTAGTCATTAATCTATAAAGCTATATTGAGGCACTGACCAAGTAATTTCTAGTTTAAAAATGCTAAAATAATAATGATCAAAAGGGTAGTTGTTATCAGTTGCCTATATTCACTACAAAATCAGAAGAAAAATAGTAAATTAAAGAATTATAAATAATGTCTAGCATTATTTCCCCTAATTCTCTGACATCATCCCTCTAAAAGTGATACTTGCTTAAGGACTTGACTAGCTTATTATATGTTATACTCAACTGCCTTTGGCACTCAGTCATATAACAAAGAAGTAGAATTAGCCATTGCTACATCTCATCTCACAGCCCATGATGCCTTCTTACCGTTGGAACAATTGTTGACATACTGTCCCACAGCCAGGGGGTTATGAATTTCTGATGTTAGCCATGTACTATCACTCATTTTTAAAGGGCCAAGTCGATCCCTTCCATTGCATGATCTGAAACAGGTGAAAGCGTTAGCTAATGGATCTGTATTTTAAAATAGAATTCAAAAATATAAACAACACTAGAATTAAACAAGTGTATTTTTTCGAAGAGTTTTATATAATCAATAGGGCAATTGAGTTGTTGCACAGCAACTATCTAAACAGAATTTTGTTTAAAATATAAATGCTGAGCCAGGTGCAGTGGCTCAAGCCTGTAATCCCAGCACCTCAGGAGGCCAAGATGGCAGGATCTGCTTGAGGCCAGGAGTTTGAGACCAGCCTGGTAAACACAGCAACCCCATCTCTTTTTATAAAAAATAAAGCAAAAATGCTGTTAGTCATAACCATTGTGGGAAGTGTGGTTCTGTCTTCTATAATTAAATTTGAAGATGGACATCACTTACCTGTACACAACTTTCGATATTCCTTTGTTATTCCCATCAATGAGCACCCCATCCAGGCATCTAAAAATAAATGGATTTCCAATGGACTGGAAAAAGATGGGCTCATACTTCTGATATACTGTACCTATTATACAACAAGACAAAGAAATATTACAGCAATATGAAAAAGCATAAACATTGTGATAAGAACTCTTCTCTGGAACATAATTACATTCTCTTTAGTTACTTTCCACCTTTTAAAGAGTGGATGTCCAATAGCAGATAGAGCAGAGAATCAATTTATCCACACAGCAAAATAGAATATGGGTATCTTGGTTAATAATAATATGAACGTCACATTTTAGGCTCAGTTTTACAAAGTCACACACACACACACACACACACACACACACACAGACACATATTTTAAGTAGAATGTGACTTGACACCTAAAGAGTTTGAAGAAATTCACTTTGCTAATAATTAAATAATACAGACATATGGGAACAGATGAGTCTGACATTAAGGCTGTTTCTCCTTTCACTGGCAAAAAACAAAAAACAAAAGGAGAATTAATACTAAAAGAAGTTTAATAAATAGATTAACATGCCTGGAACATAGGAAGCACCCAATATTTACTGGTGAAAAGAAAAGAAAACTTTTTTTTTCAATTTAATTATGCTTGTTCCCATTTCATAGAAGCAATAAAAAATATAAAACTCCCTTATTTACTGATTCTTGGAAACTTTCCGACACCAATGCTCAGGTTTAGCCTGTATAGCACAAAGGTGAGGTTTGATTCAGTAGGCCTTTCAAAGTCACATCTGTCCATTTCCCGCATATACCCACAAGCAGACACAAATGCCTGTAATGCCGAGAACCACACCTAACAAGAGGGTGATATTTACTGGGTGCTTCCTATGTTCCAGGCATGTTAATCTATTTATTAAACTTGTTTTAGTATTAATTTATTTATTCTATTTAGTCTTCACACAATCAGGTTACTTGTACAGCCGGAAACTGAAACTCCCTTGCTTGGGAATGTAAAATTCAAAAATGGGAGAATTACTTTTTAAAAACATGGGTCTATCCGGCTCAAATATTCACATACACACTTTCCACTATACCGAATAACATAATGTTAGTTTAACATATAATGTAGTCTATGGAGCATTTAGTCAACAATATTTTGCCTAGAAAATTGCCTTACTTTCCATGTATAGAAAGGGCAGGACGGTCTTTATTTAGTGATTTATGGGTTTAAACACTGTATTTTATGTTTTGATCCATACCATTTTGATCTTTAGCTATCAATTAAACCAAACTCACTTTTTTCTCGAGTGCTTTTTAAGCAATTTGTCAAAGTAGGTCTTACTATGTTCTAAATGTAAACATTGACTAGAAAGATTTCCTTGAATTAAAAAAAATGCTTTTATCCCAACAAATACTCCAGGATACTTTCTAACACATAACAATTTACAAACAATTTCCAAATTAGAATTGTAAAAATCTATGGAAATTCGAGTTTTCAATTTAATCTCTTACTCTAAGGATTACAGAGCTGGGTATTTTGTTGAAGTTATATTTATCAATATGTAAGAAGCTTGGCAAAGTATAATACTAATCGTGCTGTTACCAGGATACATAGATACGACCGCGCCCTTTGGTACAAATCCTTTAGTAACGAAGACACCTTTTCCAGCAGAAATCAATGAGCTAGTTGCTTGGGCAACACTGAAACCCAAAGTCTTGTAAAGAATTTCTTCTGGTTTAAAGGTACTTTGTTGTTGATGTCTGTTTTCAAGCAGTTTCACCCCTTGATGTTCAACTGCCAGTAGGTCTTCATATTTTGATTTAACAGATTCCGGAAGCACAGTCAAGATTTCTGATTGTTTATTGAAATCATTTAAGAATAGAGCCTGGAAAACTTTCAGTAATGTTCCTAGGACATCTTCATCTGAGATAACTTTGTCTTTGGATTCCTCTGGAACATATCGGAGGGTCCTGAAAATGGGAAAAGTTTCTATTCACTACCCCTTCAACGGATAAAAGCCAAACTATCTGCATACTTTCTGGGTTACTGGCCTTAATGAACTATAAGCTTATCCTCATGCGTGTGAAGGGCCGGAAGCAGTTCAGAAAAGAAGTGTTCGGGGGAGTTCTAGTTAGTTACCTAACTCCCAACGCTTCCCACCCAAGTAGCCAGTACTTATGAAAGGCCCATTCTATACTACACGCTGTGGGGTGTTCCCTTTTTGCAGACTGGGAAAGCAAAGTTGCTAGGGAAGTTGACCAAGGTCCCAAAGCCAGTAAGCGGGACAGCCAGAGGCAGAAACGAAGCTCAGCTCTTTCCCGCACTACACCCAACAGCCAGGCTGAAGGTCATCACAGTGAATGAATGACCTCACATTCAATGGCTTTTAAAAGATGGCCTTGTAGTTTCAAAGACATACCGAACATCACATACTTCGTTGACATTCCGTCCAGGAGTACTAACGTCTTTAATAACGGCATCTCTTATTTTCATAACCATTCTCTTTTCGGACTATTTTTATTTGAACATAAAGGTTGTCATTCCCGCCTCACAGTTCCGTAGTCATGATACAACTGATCTGTTTCCCTAGTATGCAACTTCGGGAAAGCGCTTTGTTTCCCTATTTTTCGGACACTGACTTCAGAGAGGCACAATCAGCTTCTTGGGTGAGCACGGGGTTGAGCTGCAGATCGCTAGTGCGTCCTTAATAACGCCGGCGGGACGCACCCCAATCCGAACCCATCACCCCGACCTGCCGTGAGCGGTGTTCTGCCCGTTCTCAACGCGCGAGCGACTCCACGCCGTTCTCAGCCGGGCTGGGCTGCTTTCACCACGTGAAGTACTTTCCATGAACTATGAAAATAAACCCTGGAAGTTCAAGCTCCTAAGCCCTGGTGGAGAAAAGGCCACGCACTCTCACGCGGTAAGAGCGGTCTCTTTAAAAAGTTTCCATTTTTTTTGCCCAGATACAAGCGCCCCAGCCAGTGCCAAAACCAACAGGGAAGAACAGGTAACAGCTCTCGAAAGCGAACCCGGCCGAGCGGGCCCGGCAGCGCGGCGGACACTGAGAAAGAGGCCACAGGCCCCGCCCACCTGAAGCCACCGGCCGCTACAGGCCGCCGGCTCGCTCCGGGCCCCGCCCGCCACTGCTCAGAGGTCCTTACTTAAACCCCTCCGCGGCCTAAGGGTCCGCCCTCCAGGGCCCACCCGCCTCAGGCCCCGCCCACCCGCCTCAGGCCCCGCCCACCCGCCTCAGTCCCCGCCCGCGCGCCTCAGTCCCCGCCCGCGCGCCTCAGGCCCCCAGTCTGTCTCCGGCTCTCAGCCTCCGTCCCGCAGCAGTGGTGGCGTCTGGGAGCTGAAGCCAGGCGCTCCTCGTGCGGCCGCCCCGCCCTCTCACCTCGGGTTGTGGCTTAGGTTCAGCGCGATCCAGGGAACGAAGCGGTACTTGTAACGGCGCCATCGTTGCCACAGGCCCCGCAGCAGGCGTCCCGGCATGGCTGCCCCGCGGGGCCGTGACCAGGACGGCGCGGGGAAGGCGGATCGAGGCCTCGGGTCCGCCCCGGCCGGGGGAGGAGCGGGGACCGCAGTCGGCCGCCCTCCCCTGGCTCCGCCCTCCGTGCCCCTGGCAGCGCCTGGCCTCTGTTGCTCCGGGGCTCCGTCCTTCCCGTTTCTTGACCTCAGCTTTCTGAATGAGAGCCGCGTAGAGCTGGGAGGAGGCCCCGTTGGCCCCTTTCTCTTTCTCCAGTCGCTCGGGTGCTTCCGCGGGCGGGTGCGGGCAACGGGTCACCGGGCTCAGGGGCTACCCCGCCGTCGAGACCGCATCCCAGTAGCGGAGCGCCCTGTTTCTGAGTCGCGACGGCCCGCCTGCCCCTTTGTCCCGGCCGCGCTCTGCGTTCCATCCTCTGTTCCCCTGAGCTCGGCCTCTTTCTCCACGTTCTCTCCCCCTCCCTCCTGGGCCCCGGAGCAGCCCCACTTCGGGAACCCGAGTTTCAGCCCTCCCCAGACAGCACCGCCTCTCCATCGTGAACCCGTGTTCCCAAACTTACCAGTTTGGGCCTAAGAACAAAATGTGACGATGTCCTGTTTTCACTCGTTTTTCTCTTAATTCTCCCAACCACTCAAAGGCAAAACTATATGGGCAAATGTTTCTGAAAAACAGCTTTATTGAGGTATGGTTGGGATACAATAAACTGCACATATTTAAAGTAAACAATTTGATAGGTTTTTTGACACCACAACCAAGATAGGGATCCAGCCCCTCCCGAATCCCCCAAGCAACCAGAGATGATTTTGTCCTTTTAATATGTTCTTGAATTCAATTTGGCAGTTTTATTTAGAAGTTTTGCATCTGTGTTCATGAGTGATACTGTTTCATAGTTTTCTTGTAGTGTTAGTGTCTTAATCTGGCTTTGGAATTTAGGATAATGTTGATTTCATAGGATGAGGTGGGAAGTAGTCCCTCTATAGATGAAATTTAAAAGGACCTTTCCAACTTCAGTTTTAAGGGGGCCAAACTACAGGAATCCTTTAATCACATTCAAATCACCAAGTGTTTATTGATAGATAAATACGTTGGTATCATTTCCTGTATTCTTTGCCTGTGAGGTTGAATCGTAAACTGAAGTTGAAATTGAACGGCTCAGATCTAATAAAAATTCAGCCAAGGCCAGTCGCGGTGGCTCACACCTGTAATCCCAGCACTTTGAGAGGCTGAAGCTGGTAGATCACCTGAGGTGAGGAGTTCGGGACTATCCTGGTCAACATGGCGAAACCCTCTGTCTACTAAAAATAAATACTAAAAAATTAGCCTGACGTTGCCGTGCACGCCTGTAGTCCCAGCTACTCTGGAGGCTGAGGCATGAAAATCGCTTGAACCCGGGAGGCGGAGGTTGCAATAAGTTGAGATCACATCACACCACTGCACTCCAACCTGGGTGACAGAGTGAGGCTCAGTCTCAAAAAAAAAAAAAAAAAAAAAAAAAAAGCCAACTGCCAGTAGCTGTGGGACTAATTTGTTCTATTCTGAAAGAAATAGAGTATCTACCAATGTCTCTATTTCATTCATATCATATAGAATGTTAGCAAACTCTAGAGGCTTTTCTCTCAGACTGTGTTTGGTAATTTGGCATACTCTAGATTTACCTCACTTGCTAAACTGAGTCAATTCAGTTCCAGGATGTATTAAGTGGCATACAAGAAAGTTGTTTATTTTGTCTAAGTTGTCAAATATTTTGGTATAAAGTTGTTCATGAATACTGTCTTACTGGCTTTTTAGTGTCTGTATGATCTGTTGTCGTAACCCACTTTCATTCCTGATTTTCGTGATTTGTGTTCTCTTCTTAATCAGTGTAATTGAATTTGTCAATCTTTTTAAAGATTGACGAAGGGTCCAGCGCAGTGGCTCAAGCCTGTAATCCCAGCACTTTGGGAGGCCGAGGCGGGTGGATCACAAGGTCGAGAGATCGAGACCATCCTGGTCAACATGGTGAAACCCTGTCTCTACTAAAAATACAAAAAATTAGCTGGGCATGGTGGCATGTGCCTGTAATCTCAGCTACTCAGGAGGCTGAGGCAGGAGAATTGCTCGAACCCAGGAGGCGGAGATCGCAGTGAGCCGAGATCGTGCCGTTGCACTCCAGCCTGGGTAACAAGAGCGGAACTCCGTCTCAAAAAAAAAAAAAAAAAAGAAGATTGACGAAGATTGAAAAGATTTGTCAATCTTCAAAGATATAGCTTTTGACTTCATTAATTTTCCTGCTTATTTTTCATTTTGTTGGTCTCTGTTCTTATCTTTTTTCCTTCTTCTTTTTATTTTTAGAGATGGGGTCTCGCTATGTTGTCTGAGCTGGTCTTGAATTCCTGTCATCAAGTGACCCACCTGCCTATGCCTCCCAAGTCATTGGAATTACAAGCATGAGTCACCATGACCAGCCTGTTCTTATCTTTATTATGTTTTCTACTGTAGTGGGTTTATTTTTCTCTTCTTCTTGTAGTTTCTTAGAGTAGAATATTAGGTCACTGATTTTGGTCTTTCCTTCATTTCTAATAGAAGCATCTAAAGTTATAAATATCCTTCCAAGTATTACTGTAGCCAAATCTCAGGAATTCTGATATACTGTATTTTCATTACTATCCAGTACAAAATGTTTTTTTAAAATTTCTTTGTGATTTATGTTTTTAATCCATGAAGTATTTAGAAATGTGTTTTTAATTTCCAAATATTTGGGATTTCTAGATATCTTGTTGTAACTGGTATTCCATTTAATTCTACTGTGGTCAGAAAACGTGAATGATTTCAGTTCTTTTAAATTATTGACTTGTTTTAGGATCCAGCATGCACTCTATCTTGGTGAATATGCCATGTTCATTTGAAAGGAATGTGTATTCTGTAGTTGTTGGGGTTTCATGTTCTATAAAAATTAGGTCATTGGTTCATAGTGTCTTTTAAATCATCTATGTCTTTAATGATTTACATAACATTTTAAATACAGATGAATGAAGAACGACAAATTGGCAGACAGTTTTATAATATCTCACATGTGGCAAGCAAAAGATTCACCATGATGGGCAGGGAGTTGTGCTGCTATCCAAAATTACCCTCTTCTTCTGACTCTTTTTCCCACTTCCTGTTGTTTGCAGTTTCCCCAAATATTCTACCCAATTGAAGATAAGAATATATGTGTTGTGGTTTTCCATTTAAAGCCCATTTATGCTATAAATCACAAAATAACTGTTTAGGAAAAATGTTCTTTTTTGAGACAGGGTATAGCTCACTGTAGCCTCTAACTCTTGGGTTCAAGCAATCTTCCCTTCTTATCTTCCCAAGTAGCTGGGATTACAGACACACACTACCATGCCTGGCTAAGTTTTTAGTTTTTAATTTTGTAGAGATAGGGTCTCACTATGTTGCCCAGGCTGGTCTTGAACTCCTGAACTCAGTCAATCCTTCTACCTTGGCCTCCCAAAGTACTAGATTACGGGCATGAGGCACTGTACCTGGCTGGTAAAATAATCTTTAACATCAGTGTCTTCATTATATACAAATAGGGCATATGTCCCTGGGCAGATTGTGACTTCCAGAGTTCAAGATGAGATGAATTTGATTTTTAAATGATTTATTGAACTCCTACTATGTCCTGAGCTCTGTGCAGGAGACAGATACTAAGTAAACACATAAATAATGTCAGACAGTGATTAATGCCTTGAAGAAAATAAGGCAGGATAAAGAGAAGACAGTAGGCTGGATATCTAATGTAGCCTTTCCAGATCCACTGTCCACACCCTGGGTGATTGACTGGCTTGCACATCAACAAGGTCCCTTGTCTTCCTGTGTCCAAGTGGATTCGGCCAGTGGAGAGCACTGGCAGGAAACTGCAGGAAGAGAGGAGAGTGAGGTGCTGGTCTCCGTGTATTGGCTATATCTCAACCAGAGGTCCTCTCCATGTAGTCTTCTGTGTTTCCGGGTTTCATTCATGCCTATGGATGGTAACAGCACTCCATCATTGCCAGCGCCATGGTTCTCTACAATCTCCTTGTGGTCTCCTTTCATTCTGTCCGTGCTGTTACACAATTCTTTTCAAAGTGTCTTAAGTTGCTTGTGTTATCTGTTTCCTGCTGGGACCCCATTCTCTTTATGTGAGTCCCATGGTGTGGGATTAGGGGTAGCAATTTTTGATAGGGTGATGACATGAATGGCTGAGACCTAAGTAATAAGAAGGTAACAAACTTGAAAATATCCGTGGGGAGATATCTCTCAAGAGGAAGCATCTCCCAATAGGAAATGCAAAGGCACTTGAGGTAGTGATATGGTTTGAGGCTTTTTCCCCCTCCAAATCTCATCATGTTAAAGTATGACCTCCAGTGTTGGAGATGGGTCTAGATGGGAGGGGTTTGGGTCATGAGAGTGGCTCCTTCATGTATGGCTTGGTTGTGTCCTCATGGTAATGAGTGAATTCTTGCTGTGTGAGAGCTGGTTGTTGAAAAAAGCCTGGCATGTCCTCTCTCTCTTGCTCCCTCTCTCTGTATGTGATATACCAGCTCCCCTTTGCCTGCAGCCATGATTTCAAGCTTCCTGAGGCCTCACACCAGGAGCAGATGCCAGCACCACAATTCTCACACAGCTGGTAGAACTGAGGCAAAATAAACCTCTTTTCTTTATAAATTACTCAGCCTGAGGTATTCCTTGTTGCAATGCAAATGGGCAAGCATGAATAGGGAGGAGCTTGACATGTTCAAGCAAGAAAAAAGGGTTATGGAACATGGTAAGTAAAAAAAAAAAAAAAGGGAAAGATGAAGTCAGGGAGAAAAAGAGGCCAAGTCCTGGAGGAGTCGGGATTCTTAGAGTAATGGGAAGCCACCGGAGGGTTTTAAGCAGGAGGGTGATAGGATCTGATTCATGTTTTAAAAAGATCACTTTGGATATTATGTGGTGATCACCACACTGGGAAGGCCACTTAGGAGGCAATACAATAGTTCAGGCAGAGACGGTAGTAGCTTGGATCAGAGGATGGATGGATTAGGATTCTGTTTTGGAGGAACTCACAGGACTTGCTGATGGATTGGATATGGGAAGGTGAAGTTTTGAAATGCCACCAAGAAATGTCAAGTCACTAGTTGAATATTCTCACATCTGGAGCTCCAAAGCCATAGTTGGTAATAGAGTCTTCACCCAGAGCACTGGATGAGATCACCTAGGAAGAAAAAGGGGCTGGCAAAGAACACAGATTGAGCAATGACCACGAAGTCACCTGTCAAAAAATGCAGACCCCCTAATAACTTGGTCAAAGGCAGTTTTGGTGATAGGTTTGAGTGTGTTTGAGTATGTTGAGAAGCAAATGTGAGGCGAG